TTTATATCAAAATGTGTTTTTTTCAAAAAATTAGACTAGCGATGTTTTTAAGGCTCGTATCAAACCCAAATACATTGTCGGTCCGATTTTAAAGACAAATTAAATTCGACTATGAAATCAGAAATTTGAGAATAATTTTTCAAATTACTGCGTTTGTCTGCCGTCAAATTGGTTTACTAAGAAAAATCTCAATATTTCAAGTTCTACCTGTGACTAAACATCGCCCAAACTTGACATGCTGTTTTCTCGAAATTTAAAATTATGTTAAACTTAAAACACAGTTTGCCATAGCCTTATTTTAGTCGGATACTCTTAATAAAGACAATTTCTCACGTGAAATTGTTGGAACTTGGATTTCTGCTTGGTGGTGGCTTATTCTCCTTTGCAAGAAGCTTTCCCCGTAGTTAATTTGTCCACCAAATCTTAGTCTTCTCTGTTCAGTTTGTAGGTTAATCTGATGTGTACTTCCCATAGGTCCCTTTCAGTCTGGTCTAGCTTCCTCCTGGTGTCTCTGATTCTCTCTCGTAGAAGGCAGGTACTGCTTCTGCCACCACCAAGCAAAAATCCAAGTTCGAGAAGCTGCTCAAGGACCAATTCCGGAAACAAGCCAACTTAAACAAGTCTCGGACCGTCATCAACCTTGCATCCATCCAATTGGATGAAGACACTACGGAGGTACTTGCCAAAGGTCTGAACTTCACTACAACCCCCAAGACAATCCCGAAGGAGGAAATTATAAGTTCTCTGGAGACCACTTGCCGACGTTACCAGCAGACTTGGCTGAAGAAGTGAGGGCCAACGCAGCACACATTCTACGGACTGCTAAACCTCCCAAACCCAACCTGAATCGGAGTGAGATTCAAGCCCTTAAAGAGCTTCAGTAGAATGAATCAATAACAATACTGCCTGCCGACAAGGGGAAGGCAACAGTCGTACTGAACACCGTTGACTACATCGACAAGGTGAAAACCCTATTGTTGGATCCCATTTACAAGAACATCCGAAACAACTCAGTCAGGAAAGTTGAGAAGAAGGTAGCCGCTGCAGTCCGATCCTCAAACATAACCAAGGAACTTCACAGGAGTTTGATCCAAACCGTCTCAAGGACACCTCAGCTGTAGTGCCTGCCAAAGATTCACAAACCTAATCTCCCTCTTCGACCGATAGCGAGTACAGTTGGATCAGCAACACACCCCGTGGCCCGATATGTCGCACAAGAGATAAGGGACTTGGCAGGGAGGACAGAGCATCACGTCAAAAACGACGGAGACTTTATCGATAAGATCCCAAGAATTGAACTCCAACCAGAAGATATCCTGGTGAGCTTCGATGTTACATCCCTATTTACGAAAGTACCCGTCGACGAAGCCCTGGAGGAACTGCATCGAAATCTAATCGCAGGGAGCCTAATGGATTTGGCCAAAGTGTGCATAAAATCGACCTTCTTTGCATTCCGGAACCAATTCTACGAACAGACGGAGGGAGCAGCAATGAGTTCACCGTTATCTCCAGTCCTGGCGAGTATATACATGGAAGCCTTTGAGAAGAAAACCCTGGAATCCACAGCGTTAAAGCCTAAGTGCTGGTACCGGTATGTTAACGACACCTTCATCATCTGGCCCCACGGACGCAACACCGTAGCGGATTTCCTGTACACATCAATGGGATACATCTAGATATCCAGTTTACCATGGAAGTAGAGAAAAAAATGCCGCCCTTGCCTTCTTGGATGTTTTGGTTGAGAGGAAACCAGATGGCATTTTAGGACATCAAGTATATGGAAAGCCAACTCACACAGACAGATATCTGAATGCGTAGTCCCACCACCACCCAGCCCAGAAACAGGGGATCGTAAATTCATCGAGCGCGGATCATCAGCGAGCCAAGACAGTTGGTAGAGGAACCAGAACACCTACGCACGGCCCTGAAAGGGAATGCTTACACGGCGAGAAATATCGAACGAGCTATCAGGAAGAGACATACACCCATGGAGAAACGGAAGTACTTAGCGACGACGTATCTACCGTACGTGAAAGGTTGTACAGATAAAATCGGGCGTCTTTTGAAGAAGAGAAACATCAATATCACAGTATTGAGCATTGTAAAGAAGGTGGCGGCAGCGTTTCCAAAGACCTGCAACAACGACCAGCTCCAGAGCCCCGGTGTGTACAGTATTACTTGCTCTTGCGGAAAGGTCTACATAGGACAAATAGGAAGGCAGATCCACACGAGGTTAAAGGAACACCAAAGTCGCCTCAAAAATAACAACTGGGAAAAATCAGCAGTAGCATAGAACGGACACGGGACACACATTGTATCTGTCTTTCAAATAAGTGGAATAAGCTTTCACTTGACTTATATATTCAAGTTCATTAAGAACTTTTTTTTCTTAAAAAAATATCCCTAGTATTTCTGCCCAAATAGAATTTAGAAAAACATATTTTAATACCTGAATGTCTACGTTTCGTCTCTTTATTAAGGCATCTTCAGGAGTTTAAATAAAACAAAATAGTTAAAAAAGTTGTATAGAAATTACATTTTTTTACAGTAGTATTAAAAAGAGGACAAATTGATAGAAAGTAAAGTTGTGTTAGTGTTATTTTGAAAAGTCTTTATGAGTAGTTAAGTAACGCAGTAAAAAGCTTTCACACGTGCAACAATTTTTTTAATATCATGACTCCCCTACTACGCAGTTTTCGTGTTCAATTAAATTGAGTATTTGTGGTTAAAATACAGTGTCTTCGAATAACTAAAGATATAATTTGCGTACATATAAAATGTAGTGAAGATGTTTAAGTATAGACACGTAAAATGGTTAATTCATACAATACAATAATTTTTATTTGTTGCCAGGATGTAAAATTTGATAATATATAAATATAGCATGCGGTTAGAAACGAATTGTCGTCGAATCCAAATATGGATATCTATTATCCGTAGGTACGTACCACAGTGATCCATATTGAATGTCTCTGGATATTAATTTATTATCAAATCTTATAATAAGTAATTAGAATATTATATATTATTTCATTAAAACACATCCTAATGGAAAATTGTTGACATTAAAATTGAATGATTGAGTTAAACGTACCCCAAACAGATATTGCACCATTTTACTTACAGGATATGAAAGTTTAAAAATCCGACAATATTTTGAGAACTGTCACATTAAACAAGTTGAATATAGCGAAAAAATCGATCGAAGTTGTTAAAAATTCACAGTATTTCAACAACAAACTAACCATCTTTAGAATCTTATCTTTTGTTTGGACCATTTTTACACAAAACAAAGTAGGTTTTGGTCAAAATTGCCGCCATGAGAAAAAAAACTGTGCAGCAGAATTTCACAACCTAAAGAGCATATCTATCTACTGAAATTTTCAATCCAATAATTTTTCGTTAAACTTTGACATACTGCAAAATTGATATAAGGAGCAACAGTTGATGAAGAAATATTCTGAGTTCAATCGTTCTTATGCGACTTGATAAATCCCCATTTTTAATGACTAAACAAATACTACTTAGTTTAATTTTTTTATTTATTCATTGCAAAATATAACAGGAAGTGGAGCACCTACAAATAAGGATAAGTAGAAAGGTGTGTAATTTCGAAATCATCCAACAGAAGTTATTCTTTCTTACTTTGATTAACAAAATATGTATCAAACTTCAATATGGTGGGTTGTACATAAACTTTACAATATATGGACATACTTTTATATGAGTTATTTAAATGTTTTGAGTTTTTTTTTAATCTACTTTTAAAACACCCAATATGTTTTCTTCACAGTAGTCACTACCTTATTTATATCCAATTTAGAAACAATTTTGCAAAAAAATTGTTTTTTAAATCATGGTTTCGTCTCTATTATTATGAAGGATATATGTAGATATATTTAGAAACTTACGTTTTCTTTAAAAACAGTTTTTGCACCGGTTTAATTTTAAGATTAAAGTAATAAATAACAAATCTAGTATTAAAACTTGGAGGGGAAGAGAGTGTGGCTCAAAACATGCAGAAAGTCTTAAAAACATGCATTCGGAAATGAACGGTTTCCGAGATACGGAGGATAATCCTTTTGTATAGAATTTTTAAATTTTTATGCTTATCTTTTTCTTCTTTGACAGATGTTTTGCCATACAATTTTACGAATTCTCGTTATGCATGTTTACTCTAACATTGAATTAGCCGACATATCTCAAGTATAGTCGGGCTAATGGGAATGCCAAAGAAACGTTACGTCTACGCTTATTTCAACCGCCAGATCCCTTCAGTTCGTATTTTCGTAAGACGGTGCTAAAGATTACATAATATCGGTTCATTTGAAAAACATACCCATGATTCCGGGTGACTAATGTATGTGTCAACCCCTGATGTAGAAAAGGCAATGTTAGCTGTACGGGTAGAGAATAGAGCAGAATCTGGAGACAGGTTTATGGAGAATATCAACAGAGGTAAGAATTAGTGTTTCTCTTGTTCCGATAATCCTGAACGAGCAGTAGTTGTACCCGTACCATATACAACCAGTTGGTTTATGCGCAATGATGCTGAGGTTCGCAATTTGATATTGAACATTTGGACTAAGTCTAAACCGCATAACAGGTGCGGCTTACTTAAATTTCCCGCAGAACCCACTACGTCATTTTTTAGACATTTCGAGATATAACCTGTAAAGTTTATGTCATATGTCATATATTCGAATGTCATTGCATTCTAAAATTCTACATTCGTAAAAATTAAGATATCCGTTTCTTAGGTTAATACAAACATGCCACTTTGACGACTGATAAGTAACTTCGATCGGCGTAGGCAACATTTGTTAGATAATTTCGAATTTACACACCTTTAAACTTTTCTCTATTTTTGGTTATTCCAATTCTGCTAAATAGTTAAGTTTTATAACAGGTTTAAGTAATCGTTATTTCTTGAAATAAATGTAGGGAAAATATTAAAAAACTACATTACAACCTAATTAAATCGTACTTTTTTGTTACAGGTTTGTAGCTTCTCAAAGAAATAGCATGTGACTTGTTCGGCTGAGGAGGGCCTCGGCCCATCGTATATTCATAAGACTGTCTCATCGAAATGAATGCTGCACTTGCCATCAAACTTCGATTGCTGCTCGTATTCCATCTGATTTCCTTATTACATTTGACTTTCGGTGAGTTCCAATGCATATTTTCCAAAATATACTAATGTGTTCTTTAATTATCAATTACGCCTGTTTTAAGTAATCTGAGAGATAAATATTTTTCGTTTTAGTAGACATAGACTTTATAAAAGGCCCTAATATTAGACTATTTAAAAATTCATAGTTCTTAATAAGATTATTCTTTAAGCAAATGTGATTAATCACTAAAGAATAATACCTAATATATAAATCAAAGGGTCTAAATAATCGGTCAGTCTGTATTTTCAAGTAATCACCAACAATTCGTAGAATTAGCGAATATTTGTCTATACATATATATATATATATATATCAAGCTGGTGTTAAAAAATAATAATGAAAATGGGCCTTATGTATACTGAAAATGTTGGTATGGATTTAATTTTATTGGAGAATGGCCCGCCCGAACATTTTTCTCAGCAAATTTTAAGAATGGTCTTTTAATTACATTAAAGGATTTTTGTATTGAACCCGCATGTGTTTTTCTATTTTCTTCTGTAAAAAGTCACAGATCTAAGACAAATATACAACTTTATTTTGAGTTTGCAATTCACAAATATCGAAGTTCTTATCCAAGATAAGGTCAAGTAGTTGTTTTCCTTTTAATAAATTCTCTTAATTTGAAAATAATTCTTTTTCGAGTAACTGTATATTCTAAATATTTCTTTATACAGAACGTTATAAAAAAAATGGGTCAATATGATACCCACAATTTTTTTCATTGAAAATGATGGAATTAACATTTTTCATTCAGGAGAGTCTTTTGGAGAATGTCAAATTATAATTTCAAAAATGTTTCTTTTTTAACAACTATTTTTTCGTTTCCTTCTGTACTTTTTTATTTTTGTCAAATGTCAGTTTGGGCTTAGTTTATAAGACATTCCTTAAATATGCACCAGATAATTTGTACCAGTAAGGTACCTACTCTAGAAACAAAGATTAACTATAATATCGTTAGTCTGAGGAAAGCGAAAGACTTTGGCTAAATTTGGGTCCATTTTCCCAAATTTAATATTTTCCAAGATGTTATAGTTGTTGTTGCCGTAGTAGTAGTTGTAGTTGCCGCTGCTGTTGTTGTTGTTACTGATGCTATTGATCTACAACAGCAACAACAATAACAACAACAACACGAGCAGCAGCAGCAGGAACAACGACAGCAGTAACATGTAGAACAGCAGCAGCAACAGTAACAATTAAAGCAGACTTCTCTCATCTATGATGAGAGTATTCCTTACTAAGTAGTCAGAGATTCCTTACTGTTGTAGTCAAAGCATTCCTTTCCAACTCGACAGAACCTTACCGATGCTATTCGCTAAGCAAATCAGTTCAACTAATAATATTGAAGAACGTTATCAACGTCGTTGCCGTAGCTTAGAAGTGGTTGTTATTGATCTTGCTGTTGCTGCCACTTCTCAACAGAAACTTCTCAACTTGTTGTTGTTATAGTTGTTATTATAGTTGTTGTTGCCGTAGTAGTTGTAGTTGTTGTTGCTGTTGTTGTTGCTGTTGTTGTTGTTGTTGTTGTCGATGCTAATTGATCTACAACAGCAACAAAAACAACAACAACAACAACAACAACACGAACAGCAGTAGCAGCAGGAATAATGACAGCAATAACATGTAGAACAGCAGCAGCAACAGTAACAACTAAAGCAGACTTCTCTCATCTATCTATGATGAGAGTATTCCTTACTAAGTAGTCGGTTGTGCGTTATGACTATAGTAGCATTTTCAGCTGGTTCCGACGTATTTTGACCTGCTGAAAACCGTACTGCAGTCATAATTTATGCACAACCGGCAAGTAAGTAAAATCTATATTGGACTACAATAGAGCAATTTTTGGGTCCATAAATATAGATTTTACAAGATATTGGCCGGTTGTGCATATATTCCGACTGCGGTATCGTTTTGTGCTGGTCAAAATACGTCGGAAATTATATATCAGGTATTATGTAGAGCAAAATTAATTTTGGACTATGATAGAGCAATTTTTGGGCCTATTTTCATCCTAAATTTTACAAGATACTGGCCGTTGTGTATAAATTCTTACTACGGGATCGTTTTCAGCTATTCAAAATACGTTGGAAATAATATGTCAGATATTATTTACAACAAAATCAATTTTGGACTATGATAGAGCAATTTTTGGGCCCGTTTTCACCTTAAATATAGATTTTATAAGATACTTACAGGTCGTAATCCTGACTACGGTATCGTTTTCAGCTGGTCAAAATATGTCGGAAATGATAGGACAAATATTATGTACAGCAAAATCAAATGTGGACTATGATATAATTTGATTAATCATTTTAGTTATTTATTTATAATTTGTCTAGAAAGTTACACATTTTTAACATACCTTTAAAGAATACTGGATTTGCTAAATTCTTGCTCCTCATCATCAAGAGAAAGGAGGTCTCTTGATGTTTTTTTTATTTCAGGTTTTAGTTTAAGGGAAAAACTTCAACCTGTTAATAACGGGTTTAAGTGGTTTAATTTGTTACAGTAAATCTAATCAGATGCTTTTTTACAATTTTTAATAGAAATTGATTTTAGCGACGTACATACTTGTAAATGAAAATGCAATTTCAAAATGAAGTTTGTCTTAAAAAACATATCGATATGTATACTTTAGTTTTTTCCGTCAAACATACTGGTGTAATAACGTGAACGCTCTTTAGATAGGGACGCTACCGGTGGCGCGAATAAGGTTTGTGTCTTCTAAAAAAATAAAAATAAAAAAAATTAACATAATGTAATATCTGTGTAAAATACACTTAAATTGCACCTTAACTATGTTAGATTACGTAAAAACGCCCTATATAAGAGCAACAGCGATTGGTCAGTTTATGGTACTGATCCAACTAAGAGCCTTTCTCCTGATGATTCGTTTTTGCCGTTCATTCTTATTGTTTTCTTTGTTGTGGTATACCACGAAACAGTTAATAACTGCAAGAAGATTGGATTGATTGCGCAACTAAGTTTCCGTAAAAGTAAAGAAAATAATCATCCGCTATACCTCAATACGATAATTGAAACTTGTAGATCCAGTGATTGATGTTAATATGGGATAATTGGACAACTTAATAGAATGCCTGTAAAATTAAATATAAGTAAGAAACATGCATTTTCAATAACCATTATATTGTAAACGATGATAGAAAACATCGATTACTTGTTTACAAGATAAATGCATCCATATTGAAAATGAAATATAATTAACCGCAGTGATGTATTACTCAATTTTATTTCCATTATTAGACCATTATCAAGATGTATTTGCCGTCAGTTTACTTTATAAGACAGTTATCTGTTTTCCTGATTACAATTTAAAAGCTCAATTCACGTAACTACATCAAATTATATACAATATATAATACTATTACATTAATTAATGCCAAAAGAAACGTGATACAATTTTAACTAGATATCTATACCCATCGCTGTGGTAAAACCTACATACATATTGTCGCTATTGATATACATATACCGTCTAGAAAGTTTTTGGAATTTTTTGTTGTTCATTACATTTAAAGTACATGGTGATTCATTATATTTTAACCCCCCTTTTAACTTTTTTGTTTTTAAATTTATAAAAAATGTCAAATTTACACGATTTTTTATGAAGTTTTCGTAAATGATAGTAGAAAAACAAATGAACTCCAAACAAAATGTCTGCGGATGTTAACTTTGCTGATTTAAATGGAACAACCTGTATATCTTTACATATTTATATAGAACGTTCCCTGTTGAGCATGACTATGCTCCACAGGGAACGTTCTAGGGTTTATTGGGTCCATCTCTAACAAGAAGCGAGATACTATTAAAAAACGAAAATACTTTTTTATTAAGAAAATAAGATATCTTGTAATTGTTAAACTTCTTTCTGCCTTTTTTCCAATTACGTAAGGATTTACAGGTTTAGTTGTATCAGACGTTAGTATGGTCTAAAATGCATATATGTAGGTGTTTTACCTAAATCGCACTAATTAGGCCGTGAGAGGCCGAATTACTCATTGACAATGTTATATGGTAGGCCGTGAAAGTGGCAGGTAATGTCATGACAACATTTTAATGTTTGACGGTTATGTGTTATTATTTAATTAAAATGGGTTACACAGAAGTATGTCACTGTCACGAATAACCATATAACATGGTCCATAAGTAATTAGACCTCGCACGGCTTAATTAGTGATATTTGTTAAAATACATACCGGGTGTTTCATGAAGTTCTCCCGGCACTAATAGAGGATGTTCCTTGGGTTATTTCTAGGAAAAAAGTTCATATAAACATGTGTCCGATTTGCTTTACTTATTGAGCTACACGAATTTGAAAATAAAATAATGAAAATTAATTTTCATTGTTATTTTTAGAACATCGGTAATAGTGATACTTACATTCTTAATTTAAAAGGTTTTCGAAAATTCCACCTCCTACTTCAATACATTTGTCAGCACGCCTGTGAATTGCTCGCGTTGCATTTCTAATATTCGCGTGCTTTTCTTTTATTTGCGTTGCAGCATTAACAATTCTTTGGATTAGAGCTTCGCGTGTTTCTACTTTCTCTTGATAAACCAAATCCTTCATCTAACCCCACATGTTGTAATCTAACGGATTGAGGTCTGGAGACCTAGCTGGCCAAATGTGTGGCCCACCTCGACCGATCCAGCGCCCAGGGTAATGCTCATTTAGGTGAGCAGTGACAATTCGGGAAATATGAGGTGGAGCTCCATCATGTTGCAAGTACATTCTTAATCGTCTTGCCAGAGGTACATCTTCAAGCAATCGCGGGAGTTCTTCCTCTAAAAATTGTAGATACTTTGGTCCATTAAGACGACCTTCAATAATAAATGACCCTATAAGTTGATCGTATAATATTCCACACCACACATTAACGCTAAATCTACGTTGAAAATTACTTTCTACGGTGGCATGAGGGTTGACGTCCGAGCATTGATGCATGTTATGGGTGTTGATACCGTCTCTGGTA